ATATATATATATATATATATATATATATATATATATATATAACTTATTGATAAAAGTTTCGTTTGAATTCCCATAAGAATTATTAGAAATAATCAATGCCAATTGCACTATTCGTAAACTTATCTATGCTTAAGAAATAAGATAATTGAGAAAATAATGATATAAAAATATAAAGATATAAATTTAATTCGTATATTTATAGAGTAAAAATCGCCCATTGGGGAGGGAGAGGGGGTCGGGCGACGGTTCGACGGTATGACCGGCGGGGGCGGGGGAGGGGGAGGTTATGTGTATGGATAATGAATTGGTTGAAACACTAATGGTTGCCCAAACTTTAATACAAAGGCTAATAACATTTCCTGCGATTCGTGTAAAATACTTGGACATATATTAATAAAGCAAAGTTTTCTCTCACATTTGCCAATTACCAATTGACAATAATACAAAGCTTTGTAAGTATTAATGGGATAATGCACGTGTGTATTGTTTATTAAATAAATTTTCAAGCGATACTAAACTTTTCGTTTCTCATTCTCGAAACAATATATTACACTTCCTTTATTTTTTTTGTATATAAATAACATCAATGGCTTGTCTGCATTTGAACGAGAGAGAAATAAATAAGCAGAGCGAATCTTATGTGACATTGCATTAAATCTATTTTGGATACTCCTTCACAAATCTTGCCGTCGACGTTATCCTTAACTGGAATTTTTATCATTGCACGAATCTCAATCATGGTGAAGTTACCAATACCTTTTCATTCCATTCCACTCAGGCTTATAAACACACATATAATCGTTATCTATTATAATTTACATTAAAATAGCTTAATATATGTTGTTAATCGGTGCTCATAGATCGTTTGATTTAATTAAGTAATTAAAGCGATACGCGAAACGCACGACGACGAATAATGAACACATTATAGAAGATAAATGTGTATGTAGGCGGTGAGGGTATTACTGTTGTACAGTGACATAAAACTCTGTCAATGCATTCACCGTGAGATGGAAATACACCGTGAAATGGAATACAACAACTTCGATCAAACTCGAATTTATAAAACTCTTTTCAATAACAGTCATAATAATATTACTCATTTTACAATCCTAATTAATCGATAAATTGATTTAAATATTACGTCACATAGCTGATGCGCCGATGGACGAGCATTTCTACCAGCTTAGTTGATCGCTGTCGGTAAAATAGATAAACGCTTATCGAATTACGGTTATATTATCACTGTACAAGGAATATTTTAATAAAATACGTTTATACAACGCTATCCTACCTAATTGAGCGCCTAATAAGAGTACTATTCAATAAAAATAATATTTAAATAAAAATATTATTAATTCCAACGGGTCTTAAGGCTGATAAGATTTTTGACTCCCAAGGTCCCATGGTGTAATGGTTAGCACTCTGGACTCTGAATCCAGCGATCCGAGTTCAAATCTCGGTGGGACCTTTCTTTTTTGCTTTTTCTTTGTTCTTTTAATTTTTTTTTCTCCCTCTAAATGGCATTCCTCGTGCCGTTACGTTTATGCCGTCGGCATTTGTCACGTTGATGTTTCTTTAGCTGCGATCGAAGTAATTGCAAATGACTAGCGAATAAAGATGGAATACCGAGAAAAGAAAAAAGCAGAATAGAGAATCGAATAAAAAGCTTTTTAGTTTTGTATAGAAATTGAAAGAAAATTATCGCGGCTATTATTTATTTTTCAGCGACAATATAATAAATTCAATAAAAGTGCATTCGGTTGTTGTATTATGTAACATAAATAAGATTACTGGTAAAATGAAAAATTTTATTGCCATTATTTTATTGACAATAGCATTGGGACATGAAGTCAATTATAAATATTCACATAAACATCGGCGATTCGTGGCAATGTAACATAACACGTGGAATGTTTAGGAAATATGATTTAATTGTCAAAAAGATTTTGTTATTTCGGTGCATTTAACAAAACCTCCCTGTAATCATTGATTGCCACGTACGTGATTTCATTTTGCAAGTACTCTCCTCATTTATAGCAGTACTTTTATCCGAAAGTTAGCTAAACACTTTAACTTCACACACATTCTCTCTTTCTCTCTCTCTCTCTCTCTCTCGAGCCTAAGTTGCAGTTCACTTAACAGTTTTTGTCTATTATATTTTTTTCAAGATGTATGATTTTTCTTTTTTGTTTTATTACGATGTGAAGAGATCAACATGGATGCGCTTCTAATTAATTTAACCTTTACATCCTATTCACTTTAATTACAAAATCTAAAATAATCATTGTAAAAATAATTTTCACTTCGTCCTCAACATGGCGATATTATTTTCATAATGTAACTTTCCTCAAACCAACTCACTATTTACTTTTAGTTCTACGCGATGGCCGAAGTTTAATTAATATTTTTTTTTCTTCATTTCCATTGCCGTGGTAAAAATGATAAAAATACGCATAAAAGAGACATAACTAAAACAGCCATAATAATTATTTATTTAAATGGCATTAAGACTTCATTGGATATATTAATTTCATATACCACTACTATTAAACGATGTGACGGTTGGTGAAAATAAATTTGGACATATTTTCCATATCGAATACTCAAATAATTATTATTATCGTTGACAATCAATCAATCCGACGTAAATAAATAATTAATTTCTCTTTAAAATTATCGGCTGTGATAAATTACAATTTTTAATTAAATGTGCTTTTCGGCCGATACATCATTATTGCCAAAATTTTATTGCTTTGATCATTGTTAATTAGATAAGGATAATATAGGCAGAAGTAATTTACCATTACGGAAATTCAGATTTGTAAAATTAATTGAAAAGTGCATTAATAATAATCAAAGGACTAAGGAAGTAAATGCAGTTGCCGAACGAAGAAATATTGAAATTGAAGATTAATCGCGTGATATATGGGCGGTAAGATTGAGTTATCATGCAAAGAATCATTGTATATCAAAAAATTATCGAAAAGAATTGAAAATAGTCAGCATTCTGTTTTTCTCAATTATTTCGAAATTCGGCTTGAATCAAAACAGTTTTTGCAAAGATAAAATGTATGTATAGTGCGCAGAGAAACAATTTGACAAATTCAATATAGAAAAAAGCACCGACTCTGACGTAGGCAATTATTTGATAAAATTATATCGAATAGTCCGTGCATGTGCTTTATACGTATTTATTATTATTATTATTATTATTATTATTATTATAATATCTGAGAATTTACTGTGCGTTAAGTGTGCGGTCGAGTAAGTCGATCGTACACTTGTTTGAAAGCAAATAAAATTATGAACGTAAAAACGTGCTGATAAAACTGTTAAATAAATTGCTTAAGCGTATTCACGCATGCAAATAATTATAATTGGAGGGCATCTTTTTCTGTGAGTTTGCCAATGCGATTTATTTATAAAAGTTTGTTTCTTAAATATGGAGTTGGTAGTACGAATTTATATTAGTTGAAATGTTATTTCTCAAGGAATTGCAATACATCGTGCGTTTTAAATGCCAGAAAATTCATGATTAATATCACGCTAGTTTTGATAATTTTCATAAACATATCGACTATCAACATTTATCAACAAATAATAAGGCGTATTGCTTCGTACGGATAATCAATGAAAGCTAAACGAGCAATGATGATATCGTTTTTCCTTAAATAATTATTATCAATTGGTTGAATGAAAAGTAACAAATTTCAGTTAAGTAATGAAAAAATAACAATTTGAATGGAAGTTGTTTGGTCACAAGTAAATATTTTTTTAATTAAATTTCGGAATACTATATATGGCTATAAGCCGTAGACTCTTGCATTATTTTGTCTTTATGGGATATTTATAAAACGGAAGAATTCGCTTATATATACTTACCAGCAATATCTTGGAGCATTATCTATCTATAAATAGAGGCTGATACGCAGGATTCGAGAGTAAACGTGGAGCGATAAATAAATGTTGAAATTATGGAATTGCAAATGAAGGCAGCGAGTAATTTAATTATACTTTGTTGTGGAAATGTAATTAAATTTACCGTTGACAAAAGTCAATGAAAATAAAAAGCTAATTTTCTACTGTATTATTGCAGCATGAAAAATGCAAATATAAAGAATATGAATTGCAAGTGCGGGATAGATTGGAGGAGGAATAAATAATTTATATCATTATATCATATATACATACGCATATATGCACACATACGCACATATATTCATATATATATATTGGATTTTTTTTTTTTTTTTTTTTTTATTAATATTATTATTATTAGAATTTATATTATTATTAGTTTTTTTTTTTTTTTTTCTAATGAATTCCAAAGTATTTATTTGAGCTTTGGTATAGTACAATACTTTAAGTTATGTTTATAAAATGAGCGTAAAAATTGCGCACATTTTTTTTTACGTTACTGGTTTTTTTTTTTTTTCCGGACGTTGGATGAATCGGTGGTTTTATCAGTCTGTAGCCCCGAGTCGCATTATATTTTCTAAAGAACAAGTTGATATTGTCTAAAAAAGAGATTAAAAATTTGTATCCTGACTCAGCTATGAAAGTAGAAACGTAACAAGTTGATATGGCGCCATGTGTAGGTACGTGCACTTTTTTCTTTCGGTAAAAAATACCAAATGTTGTATCGGTAAGAAAAAATAGGCCATACTTTTGTCGGCGGTTAATCTACGCATTTATGTGTGCGTATTGTTGTGTACGTGTATGTATGTATATATATATATATATATATATATATATGTGTGTGTGCGTGTGCGTGTGTTAAATGTTGATTGGATGAAGGAGGTCTTGAGGCGACAGAATGATTATTTCAAATTCTAAAAGCAACATTATTATCCGCTCAATTAATACTAAAATATAATATCGAAATTTTTATTTTTTGCAAAAAATAGAAAATTTTAAAGGCATAACTAATATTATACTTAATTATAATAGGACAATTTTATGAAAATGTTTTGTAAGAGTCATTTAATAATAATACATATCATGGCTTATTTTCTTTTATAAAGAAAGTTTTATGATTTTCATGCACCATGACTCCATGACACAATGTATCGATAAATTTTTCAAATATTTGTATTCTCAGATTTTCCTTCAAGCCGCATTAAACGCTTGTTTCTCAACATCTTAGGAATATTATTAATTTAGGTGTAAAGTTCTTACAATTTCAAATGAAAACTAATCCTATGTAATATTAGACGAGCCATCCCTTATAAATCAGTTAAATAGAACTTAAATGATTTTGGATTTTCGAAACGAGATTAAACGCTGATTTGGTAAGAAACATTGGCGCCAATGTTTTCAATAAATTAAATCAAGACGTAACGCACAATCCTTTTATTCATTGTTCCTCGTGGCTTAAAGCCTAATGTAACAATTAGCTTTCACTTAGCAATTGCAACAATACGGATACATCAGCCTTACGAATGATAATAAATAATTTCGAAGGGCACACACACGCGCGCGCGCGCGCGCGCAGAAATACGCAGAAACACACACGGATATAGACGTGCTCACATGTACGTGCACGCAGGTAGCTACGCGCGTACGTACGTATGTGTAGTTGCATAATGGCATTAACAATATTCCGTATTTCGTAGATGTAAATGTGGTAAATTAGCGTGCTCATCGATCGCTTAACATGCTAAAGCAAATTGAGCTTTGATTTGTCATTGGATTGGACCGTGGAGGGAAGTATAGGTCAGACAGATTAATTTCACTCATTCCTTTTTGCTCGCCGCAACTCGCCGACTACCGCCAAGCTCGCATTTTTCATTTGGACGCCCAACCGGCAACGATGCTCCAGTCGATTGAGAGATAACGCAGGCAGCCCGAGAGCAGCACGAGAACATTAAGTTATTACATTATGCAGGATAAAGCTTAGGACTACTTACGGTTAGACACAAAAAGGACCGAAAGTCGAGCGGGGGCGCGCCGGTATGTACATGGCAATTAATAACTCGTTCCTTACGCGCACGCAAGCCGCATTCGAACACACTGGCCTACCTGGCCGTAGTCTCTCGATAAATAAAAGCGCCGGGTGTGGGTGGTTGAGGAGGCTGAGGAGGCGGTGGCGGTGGTCGCGATGGAGGTGGAGGGGGACGACAGCTGCTGTGAGCGAAGGACGGGGGGGATCAATCGGTGGAGCCCTTGAAGAAGGGCGAGCGCTTGGGGGTCTGGAGGAGCTTGTTCTCAGCAGCGCGCATCTTGGCGCACTTGACCAGGAGGGCGATGATGGTGAGTATGGCGCCGACGAACGATATGACCCCGAGGACGACGAGGACGATGAACCAGCTCTTGAAGCTACCGATGCGGTCGGCGAAGTCGCAGTTGCAGTTGTCGGTGTCGCTGAGGTTGAGGGCGGAGAAGTTGACGGGCCTGAGGGAGATGAGTCGCGTCTCGTCGAGGGATACCTGACGGCGCTTCGTCGCGTTCGCCGACCTCCTCGCGAACTTGTACGTGATGGAGTACGTGAAGTCCTGGCCGCTGTACGAGCCGATCGCGCTGAAGAACTGGATGAGCAAGGCATTGCCCGTAGAGATGATCGGCACCTGCGGGCAGAGACGGCCTCTTTCTTTGATTTATTCACGTCTTCCCCCCCCCCCCCCAAACCCC